AGGAAGTGGGAAGGAAGTGGTACAGAAGAGTATTAGCCATGGGATGGAGGAGACAATGGTTGCCAAGACCTGAGGAGTGGTGCTGATCCATACACTCTGAAAAATAAAGATCTCTCGGAGAGTAAAAAGGAATTCCATTAAATTTTCTTTAAACATTTCTATACTGGTGGTTGGGGGTAGTAGGCATACATTATTTATAATTTAAAAAGAGAAAAAAATGACTAAATGAAATGTCATGCTAAAGCACAGATGGCAGTTGGACACAGTGGCCTGGAGAAGCCACAATCCTCTCACCTCGAGCTCCACACTTGCTGTGTAATCTCATCAGCACCTACTGCACACCTGACATGGAGTGGGTGCTAGGAACAGCTATATCCTTCCCACAGCAGCCCACAGGAGGTGTATAGTTCCCATTTCCAGACAAGGAGGATGAAGAGGTCCTGCCCCTATCGGAACTGCTACGTACTAGGCATGAAATGGGTGCTTCTGCTGCACTGTCTGGCTCGGCCCTCACCACAGCCCCAGAGCCAAGGTTATCATCTCCTCTCACACAGAGGTTGCTTAAAGTGTCAAAGGCAAACATCTGGCTCATGGGCTGTGGGGAGCTGAATTCCAAGACAAGACCAATTCTATAGGACCTGTTCCCCTGCTCAGTACATGGTCTGAGGTCCAGGATACCTATCCACATCAGGCTCCTAGCACAGTGCCTTGCACAATGGGCATTTGCAACAAGTGTGTGGAATAAATGAGTAAATTCACAAGCAACTATATGGACACAACACTTCTTCCGAGCTTCTTGTGGAGATAAGCCTGACACTTGATGAGTGTTTAAGAAATGCTTGGTGAATTAATATGTGAATAAAACACAACTGCATACTAATGTTAGAATAGCTGAAGGCAACAACAAAGCATCACTGCCTGAACAAAGACGGTGTGGTTGCTGCAGAACTCTCTAATGGGTACAACCCACAAAGCAAGAATCCTGAAACCATGAAGGATTCCTATGTCACTGAATATTCAGAAAATAGGTACAGATTTTAGTACAAAAAGAGTGTTAAATCTTTCCTTAAAGTTATGAATAATGTCCCTTTATAAGAAAGTAACCTTCTATGTGTAAGGATAAAACTCTCACAAACTGTTGGCAGAAGTATTTAATTTGGTTGGTATTTATTACAATTTTTAATTTGTAAACACTTCACTTAATAATTCTATTTCTAGGAATTTATCCTAAACTTTGTTTCAAACTCGAAGACATTCTTTCTACCTATGAAAGCAGTTAATAATAACTCACTAAATAAATCCCTGAAGATACTGGCTCTATAAAGGATTCCAGCTTTCCTGAACAACTCCCTAACACTTGGTGCTTTTCCCAAACTACAAATCTCACTGATTTAGGAACTCCAGTACTATTTTTAGTGAGTTCTAGTAGCAATTAGCAGCTAGCTGTCAACTTCCTGTGCTTAATTCTCTTTGAGGAAATTATCAAAGCTGGGAGCTTTCTGGGAAAAAGAGGAACAAATATTATGCAGAGAAATCATACAGGTTTTTATAATCAACTTGATTCTGAACTCAAGAATTTAGGCAACAACCAGAAACTGACAGCAGTGTGTGCTGGCCTGCTCAAGGAGGGTGGAGTCTCAGATCCCATGATGAAGGTTGGCCCTCAGCCCAACAAGGCTGGCTGGTTTCTGCAGGTTTCCTCTGTGTATTCTCTCCTATTGAGCACACCCTGTCTCCATGCTCAGGAACCAGTTTTCACTAAATTCACTCAGTGTCACATAGCATGGGTACTTCCTTGGAAATCAAAAGTCTGTTTGCTATCCACTTGGTTCCTTGGGTTTCTACTCACCTCTGTGACTACAGAACACTTTGAGACAGATAAGCTAAAAATAAAAAAGTCAACAACTGACAGCAAATCAAACACATATTGAAAAATGTGTAAAATGCAGAAAAATGTGTAAAAAGAAAAGTCAATACAAGATGAGAATAATCTGCTAAAGATAAAATTGCCTCTTATCTTTTCCAGGTGATTAAAAAAAACAGGTTTCTGAAAATTTATTAATAACTAGAAAAAAGTGATTAAAATCATAAATAAATTATATGGCTACTAAATGTGTCCTTCAGCCAGCTGCTTTAGATCATGTTCGAACATGTGTACAGAATTAAAATGAAGGTCAGAGGTCCAATTGGAACCTGCAAGCTCATACCACTCAGTCAACACTGGCCAAGAGGTCTGGCATGAGGATGAGGGTCCAGTCCACAAGGGGTCTAGTACAAGTGGTGGCCACCTCCAGACCAGACTTTGAATAAACCAAGTTTACGCCTTGGTTCGATCATAGGTGAGAAGGCTAAAGTGACCTCTTAAAAAGCAAACTTCCCTTTGGGTGGAAGCAACCCAAATGTACATCAACAGATGAATGAATAAACAAAATGTGGTATATACATAAAATGGAATATTATTCAGCCTTAAAAAGAAAGACAATTCTGACACATGCTACAGCATGGATGCATCTTAAGGACATTATGCCAAGTGAAACCAGCCAGACACAAAAGGACAAATACTGCATGATTCCACTCATGTGAGGCCCCTAGAGTAGTCAGATTCATAGACAGAGTAGCCTGGTGGTTACCAAAGGCTGAGGTGGGGATAAGGAGGTAGTATCTAATGGGTACTATCATTAGTACTAAGAGGGTATTAAAAGTACTAACTTCCAGTTGGGGAAATCAACAGGTTCTGGAGAAGGATGGTGGTGATGGTTATAAGCAATGTGAATGTAGTTAATGCCACTGAACTGTATGCTTACAAATAGTTAAAATGGCATATTTTACATTATACATATTTTACCACAATAATACAAAAGAAGAGAGAACTCACCTTTGAAGTTGCCAATATACAGGCCAGGCAGGATCTAGGGAAGAGACACAGACCAGATGTGAGTGTTAGGGACCTAAAACTGACAGTGTTTTGCGTATAGAGCAGGGGTGGGCAAACTTTTTGACTCGAGGGCCACAATGGGTTCTTAAACTGGACCAGAGGGCCAGAACAAAAGCGTGGATGGAGTGTTTGTGTGAACTAATATAAATTCAAAGTAAACATCATTACATAAAAGGGTATGGTCTTTTT